AATAAATGTTAACTTGATATTGGTGTAAGCAGAAAATGAAAGCACTTGGAATATACTATTTGTTGAATGAATGCTTTATTTATTTATTTAGATTTTATTTCTTTTTTTGAGAGAGAGAGTAAGAGTGAGAAAGCACAAGCAGGGTAGAGAGGCGGAGGGAGAGGGAGAAGCAGACTCCTCGCTAAGCAGGGAATCCGCCCCACAAGGGGCTCAATCCCAGGACCCTGGGATCTTGACTTGAGCTGAAGGCAGACGCTTAACCAACTGAGTCACCCAGACGCCCCTCAACAAATATTTTAAACAATACTCCGTGTTGGCAGTTGATGTCTATGATGTCTTGGATTTTTGTTTTTAAATTGGCAAGTTTATAAGGAATTACAAGATCTCTTAAAAGTACTCAGCTTCAGAATTAGTGGAAATTTGATTAAATAGCCTTAAGTTTGCAGCTTATGTTAAACGGAGCCCTACAAAAAAAAAAAAAAAACAACAAAACTCTTCTCAATTCTTAGCTAAAAAGCATCTCTTTTTAGGGGCTTTCCTTGTTTTGTTAATGACCATAGAGCTAATATAATATGCTGAGGACAAATCACTCAAAAAGGAAAAATGAGGATTATTATTCTTGTAGATTTTCAGTTTTAGAAGCATGAAAACTTCTGTGACATCACGCATGGTCCAGTCATCTCTAGATGTATCAAAAGCCAGAAAGTTAACTAAAATCCATATCTTCGTATCGCTCAGAAGAAGGGCTCTTTCTGAGACCAGCTAATGAGATGACTCTTAAGCAGAATGTAGGCTGGGCAGATTCATTGACAGTATATTTTGATAGTTATCTTAAAACTCCTGTGAGGATATTATAGTAAAGATTTGAATAATTTGGACTACTGGAATAGCAGGCAACATTTGTAATGCAAATCAATGTTGTTAATTGCTTATGTAACATTTTCATTCATTTTTCTAAAGAAAATACACATTTTTTCCCCATCACTCACCCAAATGATTTGACAAGTGACTCATTAAAAACCTTAGACATCATGGTAAGAAGATAACAGTTTTTTTTGTGTGTGTGATCTGTTAACTAAACCTTGGTGGTGTAGTTTGTACTACTTAAAGCTTGTAGCACAACTTCAGACATGGTTGTGTGTCTTTTCTTTTTTCTTACCACCATCCTTCTGCTTATATGTGTTCTCCATTACCCCCACCCGCATTCCAGTCCAGTAAAACTAAGCTTGGAGTGTAAGGTCCTCAATAAAGCTGGGGATGGTATAATCTGGGTGTGCTTACCTGGCCTTGAAAGTTGATGTACATATTGATGCAACTTGGCTGGTGCCCTGTAAAACATGGCAGTTTCTTTCCTGGTGAGTTTTTAGCTTGTCTGGAAGGTTCTCTCAGTGTTTGAATCTGGGAAATTCCTAAAGGGCCTCTGAGAGACCTTACCTCTACCACCAAATGTGAGTCCAAAGACCCTTAAGATCGTTAATACTCTATGTGAATGATGGAGGATAAAGGGGTGGTCAAGGATGAACTCTATCTTAGAGGAATATATGGAATCCTTTCCATCCCAACCAGGTACCTTCTTAGAAGCCTTTATTCTTGTGGTCTTTTCTCTAAATGGATAGTATCTACAGCCAGTTTACTTCAGTTACTAGTGAGGACTTCTGGGTCGTATTGTCCTGTTCCTCATCAAAACCTTGATTCCTTTAATAGACTACTACTAGCCTCTGAACTACCAGTGGTTCAGAGACTGTGGTTTCAGTCCTTCAACCTTGAGCATTGTTTCATATTTTCCAGGGATGGGTTCTAGAAATTGGCAATATAGGCAATGTCCTGTATCTTTAGTGTGGTTAGTAATATTTTTCTTAAGTGACTTATTCTTTCATTGACCTTTTAAAGTATATGCAAAGTCATGTGAATGTTTTTGGCAACTAAGCAAACATTGGCTTAGATTTTTGTTAAGGGTAGATTATGGTTTGAACCACAAACTTGGTGTAAGTTAATGTTAACCATTAATGTTAACCATAAACTTGGTGTAATGTAATGATAGTTGATAATTCGCTGAGGTACAGAATGTGCCAGGTACTGAAGGTCTGTTATCTGTAATCCTCACAACAGCATTGAAAGGGAAAAACTGCTAGCCCTTCTTTATAGATAGGAAACTAAAGCTCAAGGAAGGCAAACTCACATAATTAGTAAATGAGGAAACTGGAATCTGAACCTAGTATCTATCTGACTCCAAGTCTAAGATCTTTCTCCTATACCATGCTACCTTTTGAGACATACATATATCACCTTAAATCTCAGAGGTAGGCCAAGTGTAAATAAGCAAAACTTTTTTTTAATAGCATGGTATGCTTATTATTATGGTCCCGTATGCATTCACTTGTAATATAATTGTTGTTAATCTAAGTATGTTGATTTTCTGAGAAACACTTTTTGTTTTTTATTGTAGCATGCATACAGCAAAGTGTATGAGTCTTAAATGTATAATGGGATGAATTTTTACAAATATATGTGCCTATGTAACTAGTACTAGGATCAAGAGATAACAACATTATTAGCACGCACCAGGTTCTTCTCTACCCCCTTCCAGTCAATATTGTACTTGCTATAGGTACCCCTATTCTGAATTATCACCATAGTTTAGTTTTGCCATGCCCAGAAATGGAATCACACAATATATACTTTGTGTGTGTATATATCTGGTTTCTTTGATACATCATGTCTGTAATAGTCATCGATTTTTTTAAAAAAGATTTATATATTCACTTGACAGAGATCATAAGTAGGCAGAGAGAGAGAGAGGGAAGCAGGCTCCCCACTGAGCAGAAAGCCCGATGCGGGCCTCGATCCCAGGACCCTGAGACCATGAACTGAGCCGAAGGCAAAGTCTTAACCCACTGCACCACCCAGGCGCCCCAGTCATCCATGTTTTTATTTTTTCTTTTTCTTTTTTTTTTTTTTTAAGATTTTATTTATTTGTCAAAGAGAGAGAGAGAACACAAGCAGGCATAGCGGCAGGCAGAGTCAGAGAGAGAAGCAGGCTCCCCGCTGAGCAAGGAGCCGGATGTGGGATTCGATCCCAGGACCTCTGGGCTCATGACCTGAGCCGAAGGCAGCGGCCCAACCAACTGAGCCAACCCAGGCGTCCCCATCCATGTTTTTAAATGTAATAATAATCCATAATGTATGCCATTGTATATATATATTATATATATATTATATATATATATGTGCCATGATTCATTTTAACCATTCTGCTGATGGACACTTGAGTTATTTTTAGCTAAGAATAAAGTCATGAACAGTCTTGTACATGCCTTCAGTGCCTATATGTACTCACTTTTGTGAAGTGCATACCTGATACAGTGTTAGTAAACACTGCCAGTTTTCCAAATGGGTATACCAGTTTACACTCCAGCCATTAAAGTATGAGAATACCAGTTAATATTATTGCCATTGGTAGCTATGATTAAAATTGTTTTAATTTTAGCTGTTCTTGTGGGTGTATAGTAGTGTCTTACTGTGGTTTTAGTGTGCATTTCCCTGATGACTTTTCATATGCTCACTGGCTGTTTGGATAATCTCTTTTGTGATTTACCTGTTTCAGTATTTGACCATTTTTCTGTTGGGTTGTCTTACATTGATTTGTAGGAATTCTGTATATATTCTGACTATGAGTTCTTTGACAGTTACGTGTACCACAGATACCTTCTCCCAGGCAGTGGCTTGCCTTTTCACACTCTTTTTTTTTAAGATTTTATTTATTTATTTATTTGACAGAGAAGGAGATTACAAGTAGGCAGAGAGAGATGGGGAAACAGGCTCCCTGTTGAGCAGAGAGCCTGGTGCTAGGCGCAGTCCCAGGACCCTGAGTTCATGACCTGAGCTGAAGACAGAGGCTTAATCCACTGAGTCACCCAGGTGCCCCTCTTAATGTTGTTCTTCAGGTGAACAGAAGTTTTAAATCTTAATGAAGTCCAGTGTATCATTTTTTTCTTTTGTGATTATTGCTTTCTATGCCCTATTTAAAACAGCTTGCCTTCTCTAAGGTCATGAAAATAATCTCTTAAGTTCTCTTCTAGAACATTGATTGTTTTCACATCTTTCACATTTAGGCCTACAGTCTGTCTGGAGCTGATTTTTCTGTGAGTTATTATTTCGAATCAAAGATTTGTTCCCCCTGTGTAGGTTTTCACTTGATCCCGCACAATTTGTTAAAAAAAAAAAAAAAAAAAAAAAAGCTTGTCCTTTCCCCCTCCACACTGCAGTGACATTTTTGTTATCACATGACACGTAGCTTTAAACCAGGTCTTAATATATGGTAACTTAAGTGCTCCAACTTTGTTCCTTTTGGGAAGCTATTTTTAAATTGCCAGGTAGTTTTAGAAGATAGTTAGCCCCATTCCTCCTTTCATTCCTCTGTGTTACCAAGCCTACCTTTCCACTTGACCCCAGGGTTTTCAACCTACAGACCTACCACCTCTTCTTTTCCATGACCATTTCAGACCTGAGGCTAGAACTCCTTGAGCAGGTACAACTTTTTTTCTTGTGAGAGATTAATATTGAATCACTTTCACCCATTGTATGCCTTGTTACCCTGGCTGCTAATCTGGCACAGGACTCAGGGTTCCACTGCTGATTGCTACTAGGATTGTGGATTATTCCCCTGGCCCCTCTGTATTGGACTCCTATAAGAATTACCAAACCAGGGCACCTGGGTGGCTCAGTGGGTTAAGCTGCTGCCTTTGGCTCAGGTCATGATCTCAGGGTCCTGGGATCGAGTCCCGCATCGGACTCTCTGCTCAGCGGGAAGCCTGCTTCCCTCTCTCTCATTCTCTCTCTCTCTCTCTCTGCCTGCCTCTCCATCTACTTGTGATCTCTCTCTGTCAAATAAATAAATAAAATCTTAAAAAAAAAAAAAAAAAAAAAGGAATTACCAAACCAAAGATCCTTTGGTTTTCATGGTTTGTAACCCTGAAGATCATCTTTGGTTTGCATTTTTATTTACTGTTTTTCACTTATGTTTTCCCCTAGGCTCTGTATTAAGGATGTGATTTCTGATGGACAGATCTCCAAAGTATAGAAGGTCTGCCAAATTCTCTATCTGCGTGCTCTAACTTCAGGATACCCCATTTATTACCCAAGCATGAAAGCCCCGTTCTACTTTTTGTGTATCCTATAGCTTGAATCTTTCCTAGATACCCCCATTACTTGTTTAAACAATCACTTGTTTAAGAGGTCTTGGAATAAGCAGGCATAAAAATGGGAAGTTGAACACAGCTTCCTACACACACATACTCATGTGCATGTGTTTGTTAAGATTATAAAATTAGAGAATTTCTCGTGGTGTGAAGTAAGTAGTCCATTAAGAGGGATGAAGAAATATTTATTACGGTTGCTATGTGCCAGGCACAGTATTAAAGTAGCTCATCTAGCTCTTTTTCCTATTAAGGAATAGCCATTTAAAGTCCATATTTTCTGTGTTTAAAAAAGGAGAATTTGTCTTAAGTCACACTTAATATGCTAATTCATCATACAACTACTTCAATTAACACATAATGCTTCAACTAACAAATTATACTGCGTTGGAAAGTTTCAAGCCTCTTCCCCACTGGCTGGTTGGCATTCTTGACTGAAACTTGAGAATAGCATTTTCTTAGATTTTTGAAGGGTGAATTGGACCAAAGCCAAGACCTGCTGAAGGGGAATGTGTAGCCCAAGTTCTTCCCATCGGTAGGTGACACCGTTTTGAAAAAGGAGGAAATGTTCATAGTCTGGGAGGCTGACAGAGCCTGTTGCATCTAGAAGAAGAAAGAAAGAGAGTACTTTTTCAAGATGTGACAAGAAGTAGTATTTTCTGTGTTGTTGGTTTGATTACGAAGTTTCTGATTCAGATCTTGGTATTTCCTTAACATCCGAATTTGAAATAAGCTTGAGCTAAGTAAAATATTTCATTTTTCAAATAATGAAAAGTTTTAAGAAAATAGTAGGTTAACCATGAACAGATTGTACTAATAAGAAACATCACAGTTGGTTCTTTAAAAAGTAAAGTATTATGGGGGCACCTGGGTGGCTCAGTCAGTTAAGGGTCTGCCTTCAGCTCATGTCCTGGGATCAATTCCCACATCCCGCATCAGGCTCCTTGCTCAGTGGGGAGCCTGCTGCTCTCCCTGCTTGTGTGCTCACGCTCTCTGACAAATACATAAAGGCTTAAAAAAAAAAAAAGTATTATGAGTATTATGGAAAGTAAAATGGTACAGCACTCTGAAAAATAGTTTGGCAGGCTTTTACAAAACTAAACATGCACTTACCATAGAGCCCAATAATCACACTTTTGGGACTTGTCCCAGAAAATAAAAACTTAGGTTAACACAAAAACCTGTACATAAATGTTGTCATCATCTTTAATATGTGTACTATTTAAATATGCTACTGATACATATATTATTAATGTAGTTTATGTACTATTTATAATATCAGAAATAACCCATATGTCATTCAGTTGATGAGTAGTTGAACAAACTGGTGTATCTGTACCATAGAATACTACTTAGCAATAAAAATAATTGACCTACTGATACATGCAATAACCAGGATGGACCTTAAGGGCATTATACTTAGTGAAAAAAGTCACCTTCAAGAGGTTACATACTATATAATTTCATTTACATAACACTTTTGAAATGACAAAACTATGGAGGCGGAAAACAGATCAGTGGTTGCCCAGGGATGGGGTGCAGGAGAGGGAGCAATTCTGTATCTTGGTAGTTGTGATAGTTACACCAATCTGTACATAGGATAAAATTGAACAGAACTACACACAAACACAAGTGGATGCAAGTTTTTGTTTTGTTTTATAAAGGGGAAGACTGAATAAGGTCTGTAGTCTAGTTAATAGTACTGTGCCAACATGGTCAATTTCCAGGTTTGCTGTTGTACTAGAACTATATACGATTCACCATTAGGGAGAGCTAGGCAAAGGGTGTGCAGGTGTCTGCTATTTTCACCTCTCCCAAGTATGTTAGTGTGCATTTCTGACAACCAAAGACATTTTCTTGCATAACCACAATACTACCCTTAAAATCAAGAAATTAGCATCAACACATTGCTCTTGCCCTCTATTCAGGTTTCACAATTGTCCCAAAAATGACCTGTATAGAAAGGGAAGCCAATTGAAAATCAGGTGTTGAATTTACTTGTCATGTCTCTTTAGTCATCTTCAATTTGGAAGAGTTCTTAAGGTTTTCCTTAATTTTCATGACATTGATACTTTTGAAGATCACAGGCCAGTTGTTTTGTAGACTGTCTTTCAATATGAATTTGTCTGAAGTTTCCTCATGAATATATTGAGGTTGTGTGTTTGGGGCAGCAATATTCCAGGAGTGGTCTGGTGTTCTTGTTGCATCTTGTCAGGTGATAAATACATGATCTCAGTATTTCCGTTACTAATGATGTTCACTTTGATCACTTGATGAAGTGTCACCCTCCACCACTGTAAAGTTACACTTTTTTCCTTTGTAATTGAGTATGTTTTGGGAAGATATTTTGAAGCTTCAGTTATCTTACGTATTTATATCTGGGAACTGAGAGTTGATTCTTTTATTCAGTAGATTATAATCCAATATTATCTTTATTTTGATGCTCAAGTTGTCACTGATTTTACCACTGAGAATCCCTTCAAGCTGGCTTTTGTGTCCTTTTGACATGTTGCCATCATTATGAATGCTTTTAAACAAAAAAAAAAAAAAAAAAAGAATCATGATATTAATGGCTACATAGTATCCTACTGGAAGGACAAAGCATGATTTGCTTAAACAATCCCTTGGAGCATTTTGTTTTACTTTTAAGGGAAAAAAAAAAAACCAGTTTGTATAGTATAGCCATATTGCCTTCTGGAAGCCTTCTAACAATTTACACACCCACCAGCAATATGTGTGTGCAAATGGCCTTTTCTCCACACACTCATTAACGATCAGAGAATTTTTAAAAATAGGAACTTCATAATCACAAGGAGACTGTTAGAGGTCAAATTACCCTGTATACCTAAATATTAGAAGGGGTTATCAGGACTCTGGACAAAGGAGGAAAGTGGGGCTTATATGTATCTTTTACTGTTATTTTAAATCAGCAGAAAAGAAGGTATTTCAGAAGTAAAGCCATCATTTTCTTCTTTAAGATGCTGGTTTTGTAAGGAAGGCAGTTTAAAATAGATATATTACAATGAAATCTTTTTCTTATGATTTGTTCAGTTTCTTTCAAATAACATTCAGTGACAGACCACTCATTGACCTCAAAGATCCTTCTCAAAATTCTGAAGCCATTCTCTACTAACCAGCTGTATGACCTTGGGAAAGTTGCTTACCAATAGGCCTCATTTTCTTCATATCTAATTAAATTAAGTGGCTTCTAAGGTACCTTCTTTCTATAGCTAGAAAATCTTATGAAATTTTATTCTGAGAGTTGGAAGAAAGTGGTTGTTTTGTTTTGTTTTTTGAGTTTACAAAACTGGTTGACTTTTATAGTAAAATACTTTCTTCATATATCTAATTTTGCAACTGTGAATTGCAGGGAATATTCCTTGGGCTTCAGTTCATTGGAAGTATCAATTTATGGGCTGGTTTTATTCTAGGACTTTTGTTGTTAATTCTGCCTTTGCTTTTAATGTAAATCTGTCTTGTGGCCCTTTTGACTTTTTATTACAAAGGAACAGGATAATACAGATAGAGATTCCATTTGAGAGTTAAATGTCTATAGAAATAAGATATCATGAACTAATGAGTATAGAAAGGATTATTCGGTAAACGGGATTATGAGAATTGCTTGGCTATTTAGAAAAAAAGTTACTTAGACCTTTGCCTTAGATCACATACCAAAATAAATTCTAGATGTATTAAAAACTAACTGCAGGGACACTTGGGTGGCTCAATGGATTAAGCCTCTGCTTTCAGCCCAGGTCATGGCCCAGGTCATGATCTCAGGGTCCTGGGGTCAAGTCCTTCATCAGGCTCTCGGCTCAGCAGGGAGCCTGCTTCCCCCTATCTCTCTGCCTGCCTCTCTGCCTACTTGTGATCTTTCTCTCTGTGTCAAATAAATAAATAAAATCTTTAAAAAAAAAAAAAAAGAAAAAAAAACTAACTGCAGCAACAGATGAATCATTGAACACTACATCAGAAACTAATGATGAACTATATGTTGGCTAATTGAATTTAAATTTTAAGAAAACCAACTAAAAGTAAAAAAAAAAAGGAATATTAAATCTCAAGCTTATATGAAAGCAAAATAATGAAAATTATTAATGAAAAGTTGATCACTTTGTCCCCTGAAAAATTAAACTTCGGAAAACAGTTTGGCAGTTTCTCATAAAGTTAAACTTATACTTACTGTAACCAAGCATTTGCACTCCTGAGAATTTATCTTAGAAAATTAAAAACTTGCGCTCACATAACAGTCTGTACATAAATATTCATAGCAGCTGTATTTGTAATTATTTGTGATTAGAAATAATCCAAATGTCCTACATTGAGTGAATGGGGAAACAGACTGTGGTGCAGCTATACAATGGAGGACTACTTGGCATAAAAAAGAATGAACTCTTGACATGCAACAACACGGATGGATCTCAGGGGCATTAAGCCAAATGAAAAAAACTTCAAAGAATTACATATTCTTTAATTCCATGTACGTAATACTTGTGAAGTAGCAAAATTATAATGATGGAGGATAGATCAGCGGCTGGCATGAGTTAGGGTTTAGGGGAGGGTGTGAGAATTGAGAGGTAACTCAAGGGGAGTTACTTTATATTGATGAATATTATTGCACTATTTTGCAGCAGTTCTTAACCTAGTTACAGTGATGATTATTTGAATCTCATCTGCACATGTGATAAAATTTCACAGACCCACGTATACAAAACTGGTGAAATCTAAATAAGGTCTGTAGCTGAGTTGATAGTGTTGTACTGATGTCAGTTTTCTGGTTTGGTCATGTACTATCATCATTTACCCTACTATCGTTGTGGGAAATTGGGTGGGATATACATGAGAACTCAATTGTTTTTGCAACTTCCTTTAAGTCAGAAACGATTTCAGTATTGAAAGTTATTTTTTTTTTAAATTGACTTAAATAAACTGGGCTACATCTAGGCAATGGAATATTATTCAGCATTAAAAAGAAATGAGCTATCAACCATGAAAAGACATGGAGGAGGCTTAGATGCATATTAGTAAGTGAAAGAACCAGTCATGTAGTATGTACAAGCTACATATGATGTGACATACTGTATGATTCCAACTATATGATATCCCAGAAAATACAAGACTATGGAGACAGTAAAAAGATCAGTGGTTGCCAGGGGCAGGGGAAAAGGAAGGGTGAATGGGTGGAACAGAGGATTTTTAGGGCATCGAAATTACTCTGTGTGATACTTTGATGGTGGATTCATATTTATGCATTTGTCCTAACCAAGAGTGAAGAGCACCAAGAGCAAACCCTAATATAAACTATGGACCTTGGGTGATAGTGATGTGGTATATGTCAGTGTAGGTTCATCAGTTGTAACAAATACACCACTCTGGTATAGGATGTTCATAATAGAGGAGGCTATGCATGAGTAGGGGTGGGGAATATATAGGAATTTACTGTACTTTCGGCTCAGTGTTGCAGTGAACCTAAAACTGCTCTTAAAAAAACTGCTCTTTTAGTCTATTTAAAAAGTAAATTAACTTGGGTCAGAAATAAACATTGAAAAGCAAAGTGAGGAATATATTGTAGCAATTATTAAAGATAAAATTTTCATGTCTTATTTATAAAGAAGTCATACAAATCCGTAAGGCAGGCCCTGAATCCCCAACAGACTGGAAAGAGAACTTACGCGAACAAGCAAGTTCCCTGAGAGAGTATTTTGTAAATACACTTTTGTGTTTATTCCAGCTTTTATGGAAACCTCAAGTTCAGTAATGTAATACCAGTGTTCTTGGAAACATACACTAGAGGAGAGAATTTTTTTTTGGCTATTATAGCTGTGTAAAGTAATCGCAACTAAGAGAAAAATAATTTGAAAGATACAAAACAGAGCACTGTAAATTTGCATTGTTTTGAAATAGCTCTGAGAGAATTTTGGAAGACCTTAATATATGTAACGTGTCCCCTCCAAAAAAAAAAAAAAAAAAAAACAACCCTCTTCTTTTTTTTCAGGTGTAAATTAATTATTTGAAAGCAGTTGAGCAATGGAGCCAGACATCATTCGAATGTACTCTTCATCCCCACCACCACTAGACAATGGAGCCGAGGATGATGATGATGATGAATTTGGGGAATTTGGTGGGTTTTCAGAAGTTAGCCCTTCTGGTGTAGGGTTTGTTGATTTTGATGCACCAGATTATATTCGTCCCAAGGAAGAGTTTGTACCTTCAAACCATTTTATGCCAATTCATGATTTCTCAGAAAATGTAGATAGCCTTACTAGCTTTAAGTCCATTAAAAATGGTAATGATAAAGACATCACAGCTGAACTTTCTTCTCCTGTAAAAGGACAGTCTGATGTTTTACTTTCTACCACCAGCAAAGAAATAATTTCATCTAAAACGTTAGATACTTCCATTGATGGCGTAGAAAGTCTGGGAGATTTAAATACTATAGTGAAGCAGAGACAGAATGTTGGAACACCTGAAGGTTTCTCTCCAGGAGATTTTAGAACTGGTATGAATGTTGTTCATCAAAACAAGCAGTTAGAGAGCTGCAATGGTGAAAAGCCTCCTTGTCTGGAGATTCTGACAAATGGGTTTGCAGTACTGGAAACTGTAAATCCTCAGGGAACAGAAGATCTGGACACTGTAGCCAATTCAAAAGGAAGAAAGCCTCTTAGCACTCATAGTACTGAGTATAACTTAGACTGTGCACCTAGTCCTGCTGAGGAATTTGCAGATTTTGCCACATTTTCCAAAAAGGAAAGGATACAACTAGAAGAAATAGGATATGAAGTTTTAAATGATAGAGAAGCATTAACCATTCAGGAAAACAATAAAATTAACAGAGTCAGTGAACTGAATTCTGTAAAAGCAGTGTCTTTGGGTAGAAGTTTTGATGATAAAGAAGACATGGATGGAGAGGATCAGGTTTGTGTTTCAGAAATAAGCATAATGAGTACCAGAGTTTTCAATACTGAAAAACAAGGCCTTCCAGCATTGCAACAGGATGAATTTTTAAAATCAAGTGTTCAGTCAAAGCCTTGGAATTTGGCAGACTCAGCTGATAATTCAGAATCCAGTATGAGAGAAGAGTGTAAAACTGAGGAAAAACTTGATTTGTTTACTCCTGAGTGTGCTGACCTATGTATGGATTCTGTTAAAGCTTCTGATGCTGATAATGAAGTTGGTTCTTCCAAAGAAGAAAATAGAAAGTTTACTTATTCCCAAAGCCCCAGCATTGATCCTACAGAAGAAAATGTTCTGGATGATTCTATAAGTGTAAAAAATGGTGATAGTAGTAATGACTTTGTGACTTGCAACGATACTAATGAGGATGAGTTTGGTGACTTCGGCACAGCCAGTGGCACAACTCCACCTTTTGTTACTGGTACTCAAGATTCAATGAGCGATATCACTTTTGAAGAGTCCTCAGAGCACTTTCCACATTTTAGTGAACCAGGTGATGACTTCGGAGAATTTGGGGATACAAATGCTGTTTCTTGCCAAGATGAAATTATATTTACAGAGTCCGACCTAAAACAGACTTCTGATAGTTTATCAGAGGAATGTAAGTTGAGAGGAAAGTCTACTGAGACAGGCACGGATCCTGTTTCAAAACTGGAAATTGGGCAAGAAGGTGAATTTGGAGATTTCGATTCTGTGCCAAATATTCAAGATGACTGCAGTGCTTTTCAAGACTCCGATGATTTTGCGGACTTCAGTTCAGCTGGGCCTAGCCAAGTTGTAGATTGGAATGCTTTTGAGGGTGGACAGAAAGATAGTTGCTCTTGGGCTGCTTTTGGAGACCAGCAGGCTACTGAATCTCACCATCGAAAGGAAACCTGGCAGTCACATAGGACAGATGAAAAGATTGCTACTCCAGGAACCCCCAAAATGCACAGTGTCCCTTCAGCAACTTCCAAAGGAGCAGTTGCTGGTGGCCATTTACAGGAAACAGCCACTTCAGTTCAGGTATTTACTGATTTTCTCTATTTTGTATGATAAATTAATTGCTGCGGAGGCTTTTCAGAAAGTATTTCTAGATTGGGTACCTGCTGAAGGAGTCTCTCATGATACATAATGCTTGCTTGATTTGTAGGTCAATTACATTTTTCAGAACCCTTTGGTAAACTTTAAATAGATAGTCCTATAGTAAGTAATGCTTGGTAAGCTTTTTCTTTATCTCAGTGAGTTTAATATTTACAGAAATTCGTCAGCTTGGTTTTTTGATTAACATAAATAGCACCTAAATAAAAATGCATTGTTTAGCTAATTAACTATCCAGTGAATCTTTTCGCTTTTACTTTTATGGTGATTATTCAGAAGAAGGTTAAGCTGAAATACAGATTTTTTTTTAAGTTTCAGAAATAATGTCTCTTAATTTTGCCCACCAAAAGACCTAGGAAGTTGGAGTACAGTTTGTTTTAAGATTTATTTATTTGTTTGTTTGTTTGAGAGAGAACCAGAGCATGTGCATGAGCTGGGGTAGGGGCAGAGGAAGAGGGAGAGAGAAAGAGAAAGAACCCTCAAACACACTCCCCGCAGAGCCCGATGGAGGAGGGGCTTGATCCCAGGTCCCTGAGGTCACGACCTGGCCTGAAATCAAGAGCCAGCCGCTTAACCAGTTGAGCTATCCAAGTGCCCCCGAAGTACAGTTTTGAGTTCAGGAGAGAGCAAGCAGAATTTGAAACCTCAGCCTCTGCTGAAGGCTGTAGGGAATTGAAGGATAGAAAGAATTTGAACAAAGCAGATTTGGACTTCGTAATTTGACAGCGACTAAAGACCTGGGATGAGGGATGAGAAGAATTAAGGGTAGACCTAGAACAAAGAACAGTCATAGGTTGATTTACTGTGGCTGTATTTATTTACTTATAATTTCCTGCAAATGTCCATTTATGTTTACACTTTCTGGGGAGTAGGTGTGTCAGGTAGAATATTTTTACCCCCCCAGCACCTGTACTTTATCCTTCTCTGTTCCAGACTCTTTCAGAGAAGAGCACTAAGATTTATTTTGACTTAAAGTAGCTCCTAAAGACACAGTTTGGTATCCAGGTTGTTCCCCAATCCTGAGTTATACCCTGTGCTAAGCCTAACTTTTCCTCAACCCCAGAGGTGTCAAAAAGAGCACTCCCTAGAAAATCACTGCTTTGTAGTGGCAATTGATAAAAATAACACTCATCTCAATGAGCTTCTTTTAAAGACAAAGAACAAGATCAGAATCTGCCAGTTGTTCAGTTATCTTACGCTAAGCAAACCATCTTCAGTTAGAAGTATTTCCAGAGTCTGAGTGTTAATTGAAATGGTTATACGTCATTTGATACATGAAGATACATGAAGATATTATTATGGTATTACCAGGTGGTGGAAATAGCTAATCACTTTTCATTTGACTTTGAGTATCTGAAGAGCTTAATTCCCTAATTCAGTTATTATATGATTTGGCTAGTGTGTATTATTCCTGTTGATGAATTTATTATTGAAGTAGAAGGTTTCCATCTTAAACAATGAGTAAACTAATTTATACAAAGCCAAGACTGTTGACTTTGACCTAATCCTTCCCTATTTAGTTTCATCTTACTATAAGGTGACACTGGTATTAAGATCTTTATAGCCCTAGAACTTGTAACATCATGAGATAATGAATTTTTTAAAGTATGACCACTTCAAAAGGAATTTTTTGCATTACACTAGTGGATTGAAGTTGTTTATAACTTGATAACTGGATATAAGGTAATAAAGTATATAAGCTTTATATAATCTTACAAATCTGAGTTTGAGTCTTGACTCAGCCTCTTACAAGCTTTCTGATTTTGGACAAGTTACTTCTGAGCTCACTTGCTTGTTAAAAAAAAGAGAGACAGATAATCCACTTCAGGGGATTTTTGTGAAGATAAAATGACAGTAAATTTTAAAGTGAATGAAAAAAATCCACTGAAAAATAAAAATTTTGTAGTATGATTCTGTTTTGTAAAGATAAGCAAAAACTGTGTAGATGTGGAAGATACATTTAAGACTTCCTGAGATTTGGTTGGCTCACTCATCAGACTTTTATTTTTGCTGATAGGTTTGGAAAATGAATAGAATTTAGAGATGGATTTTGGAAAGGAGAAATTGTTGGAAGGGGCTGGAAGATAAGTTTAGAAGGAAGTTGAGGTAGGGAATTGGGTAAGCCCTGCTGAGTAAATGACTGAATTGGAAGCGATTTTCATTCTTACCCTGCTGTTGTGAAGGCAGCTTGTGGCCTGCAGTTTCTTCCTCTCCCAGAATATGCTGGAAAAGTACATTAATGTAAGTCCCTTAGGAGAGGATTAGATTTACTGGTATTTTTCCTAAAATGTTTCTCCTACCTGCTACATTGTTGGGGACAGCACAGGAATCCTCACTTATTAATGACAGTGAATGTCGGGTTCTTTTTTTTTTTTCCTTTTTTTTTTTTTTTTTTTTTAAGATTTATTTATTTTAGAGAGCATGCACAAGCGTGGAGAGGAGCAGAGGGAAAGGGGGAGAGAGAGAGAGAGAGAAGCAGACTCCCCACTGAATGCAGAGCCTGACGTGGCGCTTGATCTCAGGACTCTCAGATCGTGACCTGAGCTGAAATCAAGAGTTGGGCACTTACCTGACTGAGCTACCCAGGAGCCCCAAATGACAGAGAACATTAGGTTTTTAATGGTAAAATTTAGAATGACATTCCTCTTGAATCTTACCTGGATGCAGCAATTCTGTCCTGGACAGAGTAGAATGCCTTCAAGTCATTTTGTCCAAATTCTGCTTTGACAGAATGTTGTGAGTCTTTTAGAATTCATAGCTGTTAATTCAGTTAAACAAACATGGGGAGCAAGTCTTTGTTTTGAGAAATGAGACAAAAATGGTGCAGTTGTCATTTCAAATTTCTACTTTTCACTGTGACATCATCTGGGTCCCTATTTTTTAGTAATTTCCTTTTTTCAGGCTACCCATAAGATATCTTAATATTTTAATAAAATATATCTTCCTTGGGTCAAGAGACTGTCAGTTGTTGCAGCTTTATTGTAATAATTTATTACTTAGGGAAGAGTCAACCAAGAAGACATCTTTGAAACTTATAAAATGGTTTTAGTCAAATTAATTAATAAATGTGGGTCTGGTGAGCCTTAGAGGTTCAAGCCTTGATGTAAAAGCCATACATGACCATTTATTGAGAAATATTCTTCCCTCTCACTGAATATTTTTTTCTGAGAACCCAGAGCTCAATATATTTCATATTCTTGTTAACATTCTTATAAATTGTAGAAAACAAGTAGTGGAATCTCTGTTGTACAAATTGAAAAAGAGGTCCAAACTGTTCTTTGGTTTTTGGGCTAAGATTGAAAGCAAAATGATGATAACAAAAAAAATCCTCCTTACTTTCAAAACAGTCCTTTTTTTCCAGATTTCTTTCTTTCTTTCTTCCTTCCTCCCTTACTTTCTGTCTTCCTTTCTTTCTTTCTTTAACCTGTTAATATTCCAGAAAGGAAATTTGATTGAAATAACCAAGATTACTTTTTCTTAGATTTATGGTAAAAGAGGTTAACATTGTAAGTACTGCATTTAACTCTGAACTTTTATAAAATTTTTAAAATATTGCTGTGGATGTTACTTGAAAATGTAGGTAATTGGTAAATAATCTCTTTATATTAATTGACTGTAGAAAAGGAAGCTATGAGCAGTTTTTTCTTATTAGCCATCTACTTGATAATGCTCCTGGGAAAGTGTTACTAGATGAAGATTTGTTTTGAGAGCCTTAAAAATTAAGAGTATCACAAAAAGAAAAAGGAAGAAAATTATGAATAATTTAGCCTATTTTACTTTGAAAGTAAATTTTTCATTTCTTACCAGAAAGTCAGCATTCTCAAACTGACTCTAACCCCACAAAAATGTGAGGTTAGTTTGTTTACTTAATCATCTGCGTAAGATTTGTGCACGTTTTCCTTTCTGTGGATGAACACCTGAACTTATTACTAAAAACGTAAGCAACCAAATAAATTAAGTGGTCAAAAGATACAGACTTCCAGTTATAAAATAAATAAGTCCTGGAGATGTATAGCACGGTGACTATAGTTAATAATACTGTATTGTATATTTAAAAATCTCTAAGAAAATAGATCTTAAAAGCTCTCATCACAAGAAATAAAAAATTTGTAACTATGTGTGGTGATTGCTGTTAACTAGACTGACTTACTGTGATCATTTTGCAATATATACATATCAAATCATTATGCTGTATTCCTGAAACTAATATAACGTATGTCAATTATATCTCAGTTTCGTTTTTGTTTTTTTTAAGAAATTGAGATTTTGGCCTTATAGCTCTTTGCTTACTTGAAGTATCTGGATAGCAATTTCTTTTGTTATTTTTCCCTCGGAAAATTCTCATCTTTAATTCCAAAAATAGGTAGAAATATCTTATTAGATTTATCCACAAACTGTGCAGAAGGGCCAAACCATCTTTTTAGAGCATGGTGAATATTACAGTTGGTCACTTTTCTTATGTTATAGCTTGAAATTGGGAATCGGTAAAGTGTACGATTGTAGATTGTTATCTTATATCTTGATATCTTACTTAATATTTAATCTTATATCTTGTATCTTATATCTTGATATCTTACTTAATATTTAATGGTGGCAAGGCATAAGGTAACCTCTTAAATGGAAGAAAAAATTACCCAGTGGATTTTATATTTCTTCTAAATTTCCACTTAAGAGTAAGATCTGTTGCTATCAATGTTAAAACTATTAATGTTAATCAACTTTTGTTCAGAAGAAAGAAAACTAACTAGAAATATGTTGAAGGAAACTTGGGAACTACCTTAAAAATACAAGATACTTTAAAGAAGACACACATTTGAGTGGCATAAGAACCAGAGTCTAGGATCCTAAGTGCTGGTCTTACACACCCCTTTGGAAAACTGAGATTTTCTTTTTTATTGGTTTTTTTTTTAAAGATTTTATTTATT